TGGCACACCATAGTTTGGGTAATTCATTGAAAATTTATTCTGTCCACCAGAGCCTATTTGTTGCTGATTTTCAAGCTGATAGGCTAATTTAAAGTAGTTAATTAGAAACTCTTCTACAAAGCAAATCTAGCAAAGTATCATTTGGATGAGTTTTCTTTCAATATCGGGTCAGATTTCTCAAAGGCTTGGCCATAAAGATCTTTACAAGGTTGATTCATTAAAGAGGCCAATGCCTCTTCTAGTGTCACATTTTTTAATTTTTCTTTATTCTATGTTTTATTAATTTCTAATAATTTTATCCAATTTGCGGCCATGGGGAGGTGATATATTCTATGAATTCGGGGGTATTCTATTCATAGAAGTAAATTAATCCAATAATATTTGGCTCCATCTATTAACATAGTTTACTCTTTTTCGAATCAAGATATTGTCTGTGTTAAAATAGATTCCTCCCATACTAATTGGACGATGAATAACAGCTTCTTCATATATTTGCTTATACCTTATTCGCATATGGGTAGGCAAATCACCACGTTTTCACAAGGTGGAAGGGATGGCCGAGGTATGTATTGACATTTCAGGAATAAAGAGTGAAACAAAGGTTTTAGCATATCTAGTTTTAGGATTTTTAAGTAGAGGTGTAGGAGATTGATCATAAGGTAGGTTAAGAGATGTACTTGCGACTGGATATTCTCCATGTTGCATAATATTAATGACTAAGGAGTCATCCTAATCACTAATTTCTGATGATAGCTCATCATCATGTAAATAATAAGTTAAAATTTTATTTTTGTGGGTCTTGTACCTATTACTTTAAGGTTTGCATTTATTGCCTTAACACTATCCTATTTGAAGGATTATAGGTTTCAGGTTGAATGATATCAGTAAGAGCCTTCATTTCCATCATATTTAGATGATTTGACCAGTGCCACATATGAGTAGAAACTTCAGTAATGTGGGTTTGAGTTTTTGTTTTTTTCCTAGAATAACATACGTATTCAAAGATTTTATTACTTCAATTTGTTGTTGAAGATTTAAAATATTTTTATTCATATCCTCTATTGGATATTTGATATCTATTAACAGGCTTAGTTGATGGTAAGCCTTGCTTGGATGATGACTTTGTAGAATCTTTAGAAAGATGAAGCAAGGGCCTATAACTATTAGATTTAGTACTAATCCTACATGTTTCTTGTATAAGTTAAGACATGGTTATATTTAATCTTTCTCTTTTTCTATCTCTTCTTATATGGTTTAGTTCTTACTAAAACTTTTATATTCTAGTTTTAATCAAGGGTTGGACCCTTTTACTTTTGGCTAATCACATGCTGTTTGAGTGCGACATTCTGTTCAGACTAAGGAATCGAAACCAACAACACACGGGTTACCATCATCCTAGCATGTTGCTTCAGAAAGAGAAAGCACAATCTCGTTTTATTTTCTACCTTTAGGCATAGTTTGATTAACAAACAAAATATAAATCATAATAGGAAGAAACAAACTACATAATGAAGACATAGATTGGAGAAAGAAAGAAAATTATTCCATAATTAAATAGAAAGCATATAGAGATATTATTATAGAACATGATTCCAAACTTGATGAGGCTCTGATACCAAAGTAACAATTTCTTTACAATAGCTCACACTTCTTTTTATTTTATAAGTCTCTTCTAAAACTTATGATCCTTATACAAGACCCTGGACCCTTTATATAGACTAGTTCGGACTTCGAGTCTCCATACTTGTTACATAATTTATTTTGTAGTAGCAGAGGACGCTTTTTGGAGAGTAGGGATATCATATTTTTGAAAAGTAGTAAATGTGATATCTTCTTTTTGGAGGTGGTTGATGCATGACTTCTACCTTTGAAGATTCGAGAATGACAAAGGGACAAGAAAATTTTAGGCTCTTCAAGTTCAACAATGGTCATATAGGAAGAATGCAACCTATTTGAATTTATCCATCATATTAAGTATGAATTCTAAACCCTTTAACAGGAGAACCTATCTTCAATAATATTTCTTTCAATGAACAAGAATATAACATTGGAGAAGAAAAAGAAATGGCAGCAATCGAGTTCTTTGAAGCTCTTTATTATAATTATGGAAAAATAACTATCTAAGATCATATTATTCTAGATCTCCCCAATATAACATACAAAGAAAAAGATTTGGTTGAAGAATTTGAACAAAATATAGTTCTAGGCCCATGTGCACAAAGAGCTAAAGACCAGTATGAAATTATGATAATCATTGGGATACCACCTCAGCATTAAGATCTTTTGACCAAGAAATTTCTCTAGAAACTGACTAGAAGCAATGTGGGCCTAATAACTATCTCGACTCCAGTGACGTAAGCAGTGATGACACGGTGCATTGAGAAAGAATAAAGAAAGCTATCCTTCGTTACTCTCCAATCTTTAAAAGTAGAAGCCACACATCTTCTACTTTCAAAAAGAAAATGCCACATCCACTACCTTTCAAAAGCAAGATGCCTACTTTCAAAAGGGCGTCCTTTGCTGCTTTTAGAAAATAAATTGTATGATATATCCGGAGGCTTGAAGTATAGAAGAAGTATATATAAATGGTCTAAAGTCTTGTATAAGGATCAAAAGTTTTATAAAAGAGTTGTAAAATGAAAAGAAGTGTGAGCTATTGTAAACAAGTATTGTTAGTTTGGTATCAGAGCATGTTCAAGTCTAGAATCTTGTACTGCAATAATATCCCTATAAGCTTTCTGCTTAATTATGAAATAATTTTCTTTCTTCCTCTAATCTCTGACTTTATTATGCAGTTTGTTTATTGTTTTTATGATCTATATTTTGTTTGTTAATCAAGCTACACATTGAGATAGAAAACACAACTAGACTGTGCTCTCTTTCTAAAGTAGCATGCTAGTATGTTGGTAACCCTAATCTATTGTCAATTCCTTAGTTTGAATATAATGTCATGCTTAGTTAATGTGTGATTAGTCAAAAGGAAAAGGGTCAAATCCTTGATTAACAGTAATATATAAAAAGTTTTAGTAAGAATTAAACCATATAAGAAGAGATAGAGAAAGGCGAAAGATTAAATACAACCATATCTCGACTTATACAAGGAACATGTAGGGTTAGTGCTGAATCTAAGAGTTACAAGCAATTACTTCATTTTCCTGAAGACTCTACAAAGTATCCATCTAACAAAGACTTAGCATCAATGCTAAATTAGGTAATAGGTATCATATATCCAATAGAGGATATCAATACAAATATTTTAAATTTTCAAAATAAATTAAAGAAATAAAATCCTTGAATACAAATGTTATTTGAGGAAAAAACAAAATTCAAATGCACACCACTAACGTTTCTACTCGTATGTTGCACTGGTCAAATCATCTAAATTGGATGACAAAAATGAAGGGTCTTACTGATATCCTTCTACCTAAAACCTAAATTCTTCAAATAAGATAGTGTAAGACAAGGAACACAAAGCTCAACATTGTTAAGAATAGAGCTTGTGGGAGAAAAAAAGACTATTTTATTCATTACACAGAAATATTTAAATACAAGAGCAAGAGAAGAGGTTTTAGTATGCTAAGCGATGTGGGACTAAAAAAATAGATACAATATGCCTAATAATTATATTTAGCACCCTCGGTCAAACACACAGTCAGTAGATAACAAATAATTTGGATAAAATGAGCCAAATTTGCATAGATGATTGTTGGCATGGCTTGATGAGAGATGACACAGTGACCAGATCTTGTGAGCATCAGTGAGTGGAAAGCATTTGCCTAGAGAGAGCTTGGCCAGATGCTGGCCAAGGAGCGAGAAATCTCGCTAAGGTAATTCTCAAACACCCTGTGTTCACGCGATGAATAATTTATGCAATTACACCAATCGGAGAAACGATGGTATTAGCAGGCAGAGATTGTGGTGGAGGAACTGCTAGGGTTTCGGAAGGCGAGAGTTTGTAGCGGTAGGGTTTAGACGATAGTTGAAGCCACAAGGACGATGATGACCAGCTGGTCCGACTTGGACGGAGCTGGTCGATGAGGGTTATCCTTGGTAGTTGTGGTAGCCAAGAAGAAATTGTTGTCGAAGTTGGTGCCGTAGCAGTGAGGTTTAGGATGAGCAGTTACTGCACCGGGTTAACAATACCCCTGGATGAATAGTGTTGCTCGAAAAAGGTTAGGGCTAGGGTTTTGCAATGATCAGAGGATGGTGAGAGGTTGTGAACAATGGCGTTTTGCATCAAGGTTGAATCCAGTGTCAGGCTGCCGAGGGGAAGCACAGAGTTTTCGGCAAAACCCCCTTGGCAACTCGATGTAGAGGAAGAAGAAAGATGTCTTTCTGAGATGAAGAAGATGACTCTGATATCATGTTACGAAAAGCTTTTGGGAGAAAAGAGACTATCTTATTCATTGTACTGAATGTTTAAATGCAAGAGCAAGAGATGAGGTTTTAGTATGCTAAGCGAAGTGGGACTAAAAGAAATAGATACAATAAGCCTAATAACTATATTTAATAAGCACAATACCCACAAACGGAATTTGCGGCTTAATAGGAAACAAATAAACTTCTGGATACTAGCAATAAATTAACTTTTAAATCATTCAGATCATGATGAGCTATCATCTGAAATTAGTGAATATGATGACTCCTTGGTCATTAATGCAACGCAACATGAAAAATCTTCATCCAGAAATACGTCTCCAAACCCACCTAATGGGCAACCTCCTATATATATCCCCACCTCAAAGTTCTAATATTGGATATGCTGAAACTTTATCGCACCCTTTATTCCTGAAATGGCGAGACCTACCTAAGCCTAAACGTGGTGATTTGCCCACCTACATGCGAACAAAATATAAACAGATGCCCATGATACCGTCATGGTCCTCTGTCATTAACTTTAACTACTTTCAGAAAAAAAAATGTTTTAAGCAAAATAATATATCAGAAATGTCTGCACCTCGTAACACCAAATAAAACAGTCAAATTGAAAAAAGGCGTACCAGCGACGCTGACGAAGTGCATGTAAGCCAAGTTTGTCCGTTACTTCAGAAATGTTCATCGCGTTCGGAAGGTCCTGCTTATTGGCAAATACAAGCAACGTTGCCCCCTGCAGTTCCGCCTGCAATAACAAAAGAGCAGCCAGTTGCCTGTCAAGTTTGGCATCAGTGGGCTAGTATACTACAAAGGTATATCCTGCACATCATAGCTCAACGTAAATATTGACATTACCATCGTAGAAATTATGAAATTTGCAATTCTGATTTAAATTTCAAAAGAAGAGACGATCGAAATTTTTTAAAATCCCTACTCAGCAATAATTTCAGTATCATTATGTAATGATATATGGATATGGCTCGGGCATGTTCAAGGAAGATCAATGTGTGAGGATGAGGGATGATAGGATTGTAGTTAACGGAGAGAATGACCAGAGATTGGCGTGAACTCTTAAAAGCGTTTGATGTTGTGATTTCAAAAGACTGGGATGATGGTAAAAAAGGTTTCATGCTGCTGATTCCAAAAGACTGGCATAAATGCTTCGTCGTTATTATTTTACAGTTTCGTGACATTTGATCCAAGTTCTGTCTATTTAAAAACACTTGCCTACGTTATTCATGAATTGTGATATTTAAAAACACTTCGACAGTTAACAAGAGAGCTTATGAACAAGAAACTTTGTTTGAGAGATTGAGAATCATAGCTAAGATTAAGCTATCTTAATCTCGTGATTTCAAACCGTGACTGCTGGAAATTATATTCAACCATTTCTCAGTGATAGAGCAGTAAAAGAAATAGACACAGATAAAGTCCAATGCATCATTTTGCTCTAGTGAGAGTTACATTCTTTTCATTAGATATAAAGTTGGACCATTATTTCGGAACAATCTCTGGGAAGTTACTGGAAGAAGTTTTCCACAATTACCTGGTTTATTTCTCCTTTTATTAGAAGTTCGGCCGTGAATGAGGGTGTTATGGAGAACTTTTAATTAACTAAAAAGATTGTGAAATTTAGCATCTATATCCTTATAACTTTTTTCCGGATCTTTTGAAGGAAATTTACCAAAACTAAATTCTTCTGTCAACTTTCTGTGGATAGGAGATGTAATATGATTATTTTTTTCTAAATTATAATGAATCATTAGTATTTTTATAGTCAAAATACCCCACTTTTCCCAAATCAATCCCGTCCATCTAATTTCCAGTTTGTTAAAAACAGATAAAAATTAAGCCACCATTTTCCATATCACCAAATTCTCTTATAGCTTTATCACCCTAGCTTGTTGTAATGTCTCCCCTTTCAACTCTGTTCCTTCTTTAATCTCCATCCATTTGCTTTCATTTGCTATATATCTACTACATATATGCTAAAATCCCCATAGGTTCTCAAGTATTCTATGTTCGTAAAATGTTGAGCTCCCTCAATATTTTACAATCAATCTGTACTCATTAAGGCATGAATTTGTGGTAGTATATATCTTTGTCCAGGGATTTGCAACTTAATCTTTTCAATTTCTGGCCCAAATTCTGTCATGCTCCAAGTAATGGCTAAAAAGAAGCCAAAGAAAGAATAGTCCTAATTATGTTAACTTTCATGTGCAGTTATGGAGAGAATACTAAAGCATAATTTGATGGAGATATTATGATTCCAAGATGTTAAGATCAGAGGGTTACTTTTGTTAAAGAGGGAGGGAATTGAAAAACAGTAGTGCATTTGAGATGGGAGGGGAATAACCGATTTAATTCCAAGCATTGACTTTGATAGCCGAAAATAAGACATAGTTATTTAACTGGCGGAAGTTGCTTTGTGAATAGCACATAAATGTTGGGATTATGTCTTTGATTCTTTATATAACTTCATGGGAGTTAGATAGGGTTAGAGATCTATCATGATTAGGAGATTGAGTCTCATCATGATTAGGAGTTGGATCTTATTGTAATTAGAAAATTAGGCTAGAGATAGGGTTTTGGTTTCCCTATATATATTCTTCTATTGTTGGAGGAAAAACCAATGAGAGTACAAAGAAGGAAAGAGACAATATTCTTGTAATTAGGGTTTTAGAGGGTGTAAACGGGTTCAAGGGTATTGTGTGAGAGAGGGTTTGACATCTTTGTCCGTGTAAAAGATTATAATTTGGAGGTGATAGTGGATTGATTTTGATCTCATGGTTTTTCCATGTTGAGAGTTTTTCACGTTAAATCTCGTGTCATTCTATTTACTGCGTTTGGTGGTTTTCAGGGTTTTTGTGAAATTTAAAATCCCAACAAGTGGTATCAGAGCTAGGTTAGGTGGAGCTTGCAAGCAGACACGACTGGTGACACACATGCTGATGGAGATGGTAGCATTGGACTTGAAGACGATGAGCGCTTATATTCGGTCCAAGCTAAGTGATGGAGGAGATGGAGGCATCTGGCTCGTAGTGTGGAGTAGAAGAGGTGCATCGATATGATTCGAAACGAGCGATGCAGGTGGGGTACGAGAACAACAAGTGGGGGAAAGCTACTGTCAAGTTTATTTTGGTAGGAGAAGCATGGTTGATTTTCTTCTAATGTTAGAGGTGACAAAGATCTCTTGTTGCGCACAAGAGAGGTGGAGACATCACGGCAAAGCAGATGATAGCGAGGGTCACGAGACGTCCCGGTTGGAGTGCAAGTGCTTCAATTCGAAGTGTGAATGAATAGAAGATGCTAGCGGGAGATGCAAAGTTTCAAGACGGCGATGATATATCTTCAAGGGAGTTTGGGAATCAAATCCAATGTGGAGATTGTTGGGATTATGTCTTTTATTCTTTGTATAACTTCATGAGAGTTAGATAGGGTTAGAGATCTATCATGATAAGAAATTAAGTCTCATCATGATTAAGAGTTTGAATCCTATTCTAATTAGGAAGTTAGGCTAGAAATAGAGTTTTGGTTTCCCTATATATATTTTTTTATTGTTGGAGGAAAAACCAAGGAGAGTAGAGAGAAGGAGAGAGACAATATTCTTGTAATCAGGGTTTTAGAGGATGTAACCGGGTTCAAGGGTACTGTGAGAGAGAGGGTTTGACAGTCTTTGTCTGTGCAAAAGATTATAATTTGGAGGTGATAGTAGATTTTGATCTCGTGATTTTTTTTCCTGTTGAGGGTTTTCTACGTTAAATCTCGTGTGATTCTATTTGCTGCGTTTGGTGGTTTTCGAGGTTTTTGTGAGATCTAAAAATCCCAACAAAAAATGGAAGTTTATCATGCCATTTTCATTTAATGTTTGTTAACTATTCTCTAAGAGGATATATCTGCAAAATGAATTAGAAAAGTAAGGATGTATAGGAAATATTAATAAAACAAGGAGATATAAACATTTACCGACATAATATGCTGAAATCAGTAAAAGACATTAGAACTTCAAACACAAATATTCCATTTCAAATAAAACTCATATCAATAGAAGTTTTCTACTACGTGTAGAGTATGCCTTTTCAAAGTGGTCCACTCGAATAGAAGTAATATGTTGACTAAAATGTAAACTCAAATTAAAATATTGATTAGATGCATATGTTTGAATCTTGAAGGAATACCAACCTCACTCAGCATCCGATGTAACTCATCTCTAGCTTCGGAAATTCGTTCTCTGTCATTGCTATCCACTACAAATATTAGCCCTTGTGTATTCTGGAAGTAGTGCCTCCATAATGGCCGAATCTAGTTCGCACATTCAAAGTACAAGAATTAGTTTGACTGGAAACAATGCGACGAATGAAATATATATAAGTGCACGGTAACCCTGGCTGCATCTCTAAGTAGTAAAGAAATATAAATAGAATTTGAAACATATATTTTAAGATTAAAACCAATACAAGAGCTTATTGAGATGAAAAGATAGTTTCTTATTGTTATTCGCAACCAGTGAATATAGGCTCAGCTAGCCGCTCAGAGGAAACTAAGAAATGATTCCAAGGAAAGAAATCACGTACAAAAAACACAGATCAAGCGTAAGTTATTGCTCTTTGACATGGCATTTTTGAAGGAGAATTGTCATAATTTAGAGAATCCAGGTCCTGATCGACCAATCATCTTAGATGTATTATGGGCAACCTGTTTAATTCCATGCGCTACATAGTATGATACAAGTGTTCCAGGGAACTTATTAAGGTGATACGCTTTTGCTAAAATAACGGAGTTTGAGAAAGTAATATCTCAAAATGTATATTAAAGAAGTATATAGCTGCTATTTCTGGAATGTTACGAGGTATAAATTTCCCTGTTCAGATTACTGATTATAATATCTGGAAACCATAACTTGTGAAGCTATCATGATATTGAAATGTAGAACTAGCGCAACAGATTTTATGCGGAAATACTAAAACTTTGATCAAGTGTAGTACCTTGTCCTGGCCACCAACATCCCATACGGTGAAACTAACATTTTTGTAATCCACGGTCTCCACATTAAAACCTGTAAAATGTAATAAATATTGATTAGTAGACACATTGGTTAGTTTGCCATGGGGTCCTGGTCCTCTACATCCTCCTTGATAGTAGAGGATGGCTACAACTCACCGATAATCTTTCTTCACTATGTGACCCCATGAATACTATTAATTAAAAAAAATTCCTCAAGGACCCAAAATATGAGACTAACAGCGGGGCAGGTGAGGTGTCCTCCTCCTATTGCATAATGAGTTGACCATCATTAATGATGACCGTCTTATTATGTAATAGGAGGGGGACATCTCACCTGTCCCCCCCTGTTGGTCTTATATTTTGGATCCCTGTATCAAAGCTCTTAATTAAATAAATTACATAAAAATCTTCTTAGTTGTGGGGCCCATTGGATGAACCAATCGTATTCATACGTAGTCATTCTCCACAATTTAGGATGTAAAGGATCTATTCTCGGCTAGTTTGTGTGGCCATTATTCATGTTATTCACCTTACACGCAAAAGTTATAGTCAAACGTAGTGTTGTCGGAATTAGCTCTATGAAGCTTTTTCCCCCCTTCGCGAATGCTCAAGGACTGAGTGCAGGTCAATTCAATATCTTTGCATTTAAAATTATCTGTGAAGCAAATACCTTCGTATGTTGCTCATTATATCTTTAAGGTAATTAAATGTCAGAGGTCAATTTTACCTTCAAATTTAAAAACCAAGGCATTTCAGATTAAAAGAACAAAATAGATTGATCTAGATCATATAATACATATTCACGCAAACTGATCCTCGTAAGCTCGTGCTCATCAATCGCCTTTCACGTCGGACGCGAATTCACGTAACAGTATATCAAAGGAAGCGTCATAGATTCTCAAATAGTTAAAAAATAATAATTAATTTTACGCTTGCATTTTATAATACATATATTGAACAAAAACAATACATAGACTTCCTGACGTGATCCCAAACTATACCTGAAGACTATATATACATAGAATATAAGAGATTCGTATATGTTAGTTGCCACCTAAATTAATTCTTCATAAGATATTTAGACTGGAAGAAGTTGCACAGCTCTTGGAAGTCATTTGTTAAGGGGATCATCAAGGCTACGAGCCACTTAAAGTTGTTATCAAAGAGTCAAAAGTCGAGAAGATACTATCAAAAGTCGATCGGTTGAGGATAGGTTACCGATGGTGGGGATGGTGGTGATGACCTCGCCGAGCTTGAGCTTGTAGAGGATGGTGGTCTTTCCGGCGGCGTCGAGGCCCACCATCAGGATCCTCATCTCCCGCTTCGCGAAAAGCATCCTCACCATCTTTGATAGCACGAAACCCATTGATGATGATGAGGAGGAGGAGGAGGAGGAGAGAAATGAAGAGGAGAGCAGCTGGGGGAATGAAGAAGGAGAGGGTAGAGGGCCGGGGATAAGGAAGAGAAGATTAATGTAGGAGGAGAAAGGCATCTTGTTCTTGTCCTTCGTTGAGGGCTGATGGAGATGGTGGTGGGCGCGGAGCACAGGATTCGGATTGATTGAGGAGAATAAGGGATAAAAAGCAGTATTGCAGACTCTGATCGATGGAGACTGCATATATTCTTCAGATAGAGCGAGCAAAATTAGCCGGGCGCGTTGCTGCGGCATTTGTGTAGGAAAAAAACAAAAGATACAATAGTTTAACTATAATTGACATAAAAATATGTCGTGTATATAATCATTTAGAACAAAAATACCAAAGTTACCACGAAAAAGTAAACAACTTGCGTTGTATATCAAACTATTAATTAAATACAAATTGGATTTAAAAACAATCCGATGAAAATTTTTGGGCCTAAGAGAGATTTTGGAAGTGAGTGACTTATAACAAATAGTGGCGAAACCTTCGGTTTAGAGGTAAAATTCCCTTTTTGGAAGTACATGGCTTGAAAATTGAATGAGAGTAAAACTTTAGGTCAGGTAACCAATCGACGGAGAGCGGGCCGAAACGCTTCCTCAGAAGGAAGCAAGCCGAGAGAAACCAACCGACGGCTAACCCTCTGAGCTCAAACCTCGCCTCCCGCGGTAAAGGGAAGGCCCATGCAACTGTGGTAGATACTAATCACACGTCACAGTAGCAATCCTGAAGACAGCAAAAGACTTCGGATCCGAGACTCCAAAAAGAGTACTCTTTCAAGGACGAAGACGTTCCAGCCATCTTTGAGTCCCACCTCGAAAACAACAAGATCAAGCTACCACTTATCACAAATCAGGAGGAAGCTGAGAATACTTCGGATCCGAAGTACTGTGCGTATCACAGGAGGATCCTTCATCCCACCAATGCTTGCTTCGCTCTTAAGAATAGCATCCAAACCTTGGTTGAAGCTGGTGTCATAACGCTAAATTAAGCCGAATGAGCACTCTGAAGAGTATACGAGTATAAACTGCTTCTCAATACTCCAACAAATATACGAGTCTAAACTATTTCCTAATTTTAACGGGAAGTTCCTGGAAGAATATCATATGTGATATTCTTAAGGATAACCCGATCATTCAGCTGGGTACAATGTTAGACCCAGTTTCACAAAGAAAGCTGGGGGTGGATGTAACGGAAAGTTCCCGAAAGAATACTATATGTTGTGTTCTTAGGTTTAGCCCGGTCGTTACAAAAATGGGATGAATAAGAAACTCCCCACTTGACTCTAAATGCTGGGAGCAATTCCACCAGTTTCCGAGCACTCTTTTGCTGAGATGAGAGTTGATCACATCATTGGATCAATCTTCCCTCATAAAAAACTCACACTGGTGTTAATGATTCATAGTTCTCCACCACAAAGTCTCTCACTGATCAAATTAATTGATAGTGGGCCCACTAAAATTCTTTCTGGTTTAATCTATTCAAACTCACACTGTGTCTGTGCACTCAACACTCCTATTGTTAGAGTCCGGGCATAGTACTCGGAATTTTAATCTCCTGATCATTGACAATTGTCAAACCCCTCCGTGTTAAGTATTTGTCACTTAATACCAGGAACTCCCTTTGAGTGATTTGTACGAATCAATGCTCACAAAGTAATTTGTGCTCCCACTATCGTTGTTCGTTTGGTCAAACCTTCCTATAATTAGGACCACAACCAAAGTCCCCTCCGATTCCTTTAATAAACGAGAGGTCCACAAATTGAGCGATCAAACCTATAAAAGTTAGGATTGTCTCAAAACTCCCCACTTGGTCAAACCTTCCTATAGTTAGGACCAAAACCAAATTCCCCTCTCGATTCCTTTAATGAACGAGAGCCGAGAGGCCCACTTTCAAATCAGACTTTCCTTTCGATAAACGAAAGACCTCCACCCCAATTGAATGATCAAATCTATAAAAGTTAGGGTCATCTTAGTACCTCCTCTCGGTCAAAACCATCAAACGGTTATGGCCAAAACTGTGGTTCCTTTTTGATAAACGAAAAACTCTCATCCTTTTCCCTTCAGTCAATCCTATAAAAGTTAGGGCAGAAGTCGGAAACTCATCTTCAAGTCAGGTAACCAATCCTATAAAAGTTAGGATTATCTGAATCTTTTCGGTTCTCGGAGTGGATATCCCACTCTTAGTTTTACCTTGCAGATTCTCAAAATAGAGATCCCACTTTGAGTTTCTTTTGCAACCAGAGATAGAATATAAAATTATTCTTCCCCGGTATCGGGTTCACTTCTGCCCCAAGAGAAGGCCCGGAGATAGAATATAAAATTCTTCCTCTCCAGTGTCGGGTTCGTCTTTACCCCAAGAGAAGACACTACCGATAATCCGTGCCTCACACGCACGGGGAATTTTATCTCGAATCCTAAGAAGGGATAAGTCAACGCCTAACACGCGTTGCCGGTTTAGTCTTTCACCGATTGAAGAAGACACCATAATCCAAGTCTGGAGACTTTTATCCCAAAGCCTAAGTAGGGATAAGCCAGCGTCTAACACGCGTTGCCGGTTAGTTCTTGACCGTAAAAAGAACAAAAGCCCACATATTCAACATTGTGGCAGGTCATTATTAATAACGCCAAAATCCACGCCTTACATGCGCGGTGAACTTTATCTCGACTCCTAAATAGAGATAAGCCAACGCTTAACACACGTTGCCGGTTTAGTCTTTCACCGATTGAAGAAGACACCAGAATCTAAGTCTGTGGACTTTTATCCCGAAGCCTAAGTAGGGATAAGTCAGCGTCTAACACACGTTGCCGGTTAGTCTTTGACTATAAAAAGGATAAAAGCCCACATATTCAACATTGTGCTAGGTTGTTATTAATAACACCATAATCTGTGCCTTACACGTATGGAGAATTTTATATTGAATCCTAAGTAGGGATAAGTTAGCACCTAATACGCGTTGCTGGTTTAGTCTTTTACCGATTGATAGAAGTCACCAAAATTTAAGTCTGGAGACTTCTATCCCGAAGCCTAAGAAGGGATAAGTCAACGCCTAACACGCGTTGCCGGTTTAGTCTTTCACCGATTGAAGAAGACACTAGAATCCGAGTCTGAGGACTTTTATCCCGAAGCCTAAGTAGGGATAAGTCAGCGTCTAACACGCGTTGTCGGGTAGTCTATTCTCGTAAGAAAGATGAAGTCTACGTATTTAATATCGTAGCACTAAGAGAGTTAACTCTCTTAGCACAACGTCACATGCGAAACGGACTTAAACAATCTGCATGCATGCCTGATTCAAACAGTAATCGGTAAAAGCACGTCAAATCCATTGAAGACTGAGAATTTGCTAAAACATCATAAGTCTACGTCTAACACGCGTTGCTGTTTAGTCTTTTCACATGAGAAAGAAGAAGTCTACGTATTCAATGTCGTAGCACTAAAAGAGTTAACTCTTTTAGCATAACGTTACGTGCAGAACGGATTTAAACAATCTGCACGCTAGCCTAACTCAAACGGTAGTCGGTAAAGGCTAATCAAACCCGTTAATAGCTGAGGGTTTGCTAAGAATCCTATAAATACAAGAGTCATTGACGCACTAGCTTCATTAATTGGTCTCGTGACTCAAAGATCGGACAACCTTAGGATGAGATCCATACCTACAGATGAATCAGCTTTAATAGTTGGTCCTGTAGCCCCGACATTTGGGACCGCCATGCTCCAATGACTTAAGAGTTTAAACTGTGTAAACTCTAGCAAATATACGAGTATAAACTATGCTAACGCCGAACAATGCGTTACAGCAAAAGTTAACGCCTGTCAAGGCGTTATAGTAAAAGCCAAGGCCAGTCAACGCATCGACGATTTAGCCAAAATAAGGCTAAGAAAAAATTCCGGATTAAATGATGATTCCAAGGAGTTCAATTACGATTCAGATATGAATTCCCGATGAAGATAATCAGTTCAACATCAACTCAACAACACGAGCTAAGTTCAAAAACTTACACACCAACTTCAACAACGGTCAGATGATAAACGCAGCATCGCGAGCTAAGTTCAGAAACTTACACACCAACTCCAGTTCAAAACTTCAACAACGGTCAGACGATAAACGCACCACCGGAAGAGCTTCATCTATACTGAGCAGACTGAAGGCTGAAGAAGTTAAGAATTGAAGCAGTTCACAGGTCCCTCTACGAGATTGAGAAAAGGGCCTATCTTATCCAAAACATTCCACACTCCTCTATAAAAGAATAAATCTAAAATACTTTGGAGGGGGTATCTGTAGACGTCTAAAAATGCATATAGGTGTCCGCACACAGCTCGAGACGAAGAGAAGATGATGAACATCGTTATCTGAGTCTAGGAGGATTATCTGACGCCGACAAGTGCATGAACCGAAATGGCGAACTAACTGTGTCTCGTATGCTCACCGGCCACCTTAAATTGGCCATCACACATGTTGGTCAGCCCGTGCATATCAGTCAACTCACGCACGTTAGTTAGCCATAAGTGACCAGACACACTCGTTAGTCAGCTCGCGAACGCAGTCAACTCACGCACGTTAGTTAGCCATAAGTGACCAGACACACTCGTTAGTCAGCTCGCGAACGTCAGTCAGATCCAAAATGCCCGACGCGCTTGTCGGTCAGATCCAAAATGCCCGACGTGCTTGTCAGAAAGATCCAAAGTGCTCGCCATGCTTTTCGGCCAGATCCAAAGTGTCTGACACGCTTGTATCCACATCATCTACCCAAGGATAGCGCGAGTTATATGGTCAAAATTTATGATATTGTAGCTACTTTACTTTTCTGTATTGCTTTCCTTTATCTTTTATTTTTAGTTTGGAATTGATATTTAGCGATTCACAATTTAAGACATGGGGCAGCCACCTTCCCTTTCAAACCCTAACCCTAATCTTGAGTTTACCTGAGGCGTTTATCAAGAGGAAGGCTGGATCTGCGAGCTTGGCGAAGAGGAATATTGTACGCACGTGTTTGGGAGTTCAACACGATGTTTGAGGTAACATCACCTCTATCCAAACCTTTCCCTAGTTTAAAAAATCAAGTTTTATGTGTTTATTATGATATTTCTCATGCTTAAAGTTAATCTAGTGTATTAGAATTTAACTTATGATGTTTAAAACTTAACAGACTATAAACAGTAGAATTCTTTTCTGTAACTTGTTTAGCACATGATCA